GGCCATAAACGACCTAAAAGGTCCTTCCTGAAAAGGGGCTGGGGGGCTGAGCCATTGCAAACTGAATCTTAACATGAAGCCGGCCACCCAGCTGTAAAATCTCTCCTAATCCCAGGCCCAGGGAAAGGAGAGGACAGGGAGATCACCTGCTTTTCCAGGATGTCGCCCACATCACATGGCTCCCTGGGTCACGCTTGCACCCACCACCACCTTCAAATCTGAGCTTGACCTCCAATTTACCTTGAAGTTCACTAGCTAATCGTGCCAACTGCTTTGGCACGCCAGCTGAAAAAGGGGTTCACATCGTCCCAGAGAGAACGAGGGGGATTAATCCTCCACTGGCAGCAGGGGAAGCTGATCAGTCATTAGGGTACACGGGTGTTGAGGATGACCCTCGAAGGGACCCCTTGGACTTGGGCAGCAGGGATAAAAACAGCCTTGCTCTGTTTGCAGGGCTCGCACGTACTCAACGCCAGACAGGACCTGGCGCTTTTTTTTTTCCAGCTCAAACTTTTCACTTTTGGAAAAGTCTGTCCTTGTTGGAATAGCTGAGCAAACCCTTCCCCAGCCAGCCGTTCCAAAAGCATTTGTGTTAATCCAGATTAACGAACATAAAGCAATTTAGATAAACCGCATTAAGCCAAAAACACCTTTGAACTTTTTTTTTTTTTGATCAAAATCCCTCCCCAAGCGCTGTGTGTGGTTTGGGCCTCTGCATACAGCAGCTTCGCTAGAGCTGAGCTCTCCACCGAGTGATAATTAAGTAAAGTCAGCAAATACGAAGATTACCCAGAGCCAGCAGCACCGGCAGCATACCAGCTATTTGCACATGGAGCCCAAAACTGATTCTGGGTCTGGGGGTGTCCAACGGGGCAAGACAGCATGAGGAGCATCTCCATGCTCCAGCTCCATGCACGTCTGCTGGCCACGACGGCTGGGCTCCGTCCAGGCTGCCTACGTGACCACGAGCCAAACCCCTGCAAGACTCAGTTTACCCAGCACCAACCCATCCCCTAAGTACGCGGATGATGAGATCAGTCTGAAATGCCCCAAGATTGGGTTCTGGCCGCAGGAGGCTGGGCAGGATGGGTGAGGGTTTGCTCGAAGTGGCCAGTCGCCACAGCTCGGACACGTGTGCCGTGACTGAGGTGGCAACAGCCAGCTCATGCATATGGGATGTCTCATGGAAAAGGTCACACACCAGCTTAGGAGGAGGGAATTAATAGATGCTGTATTTGCTGGTGAAGCATGTGGTGTGTTACAGGCATATACACACCTTGCACACCCACACCAGAGCCATCACCACAGCAGACACTTGCCTCTCCAAAGGACTCCCGAACCAAAATCAGGGGCTACAGCAGACCTAACACCAAGACATCCTCTCACCTGGACAAGACGGACAACAACACTTCATTTGCCTGCAGGGAAGCTGTGAGCTCCTCAGCATCCAGCTGCCTGCCCACATATTTGCACCAGCATCCAGCACAGAAACAATCCTGACCTTGTCTGGTGCCCCAGGCGCTCCTGCAAAAATAGCTTTCCTGGCTGATGGGGCAGAGGAAAACTCCTGGCTTCCCCAGCTCTCCCCTCCACACCCTCCCAAAACACCTGCTAACACTTTCTGCCCTCCGCCCTGATTACCTTCCTCCTAGAAGGAGAATTTCTAACAGAAGCCAAAGCTGTACCTTGTAGGCTCCAAATTCCCTCATTTTTTGGAAGTGGGGGGCTGTAACACCAACTGGGCTTTGCCTCTCCTGTTGGGACAGGGTTTGCTTTTTTGCAAAGAAAGCCTTCCGTGGCTGGGCGGCTGCTCACAGCTCGGTGCACTGTGCTTGCTAAGCTTTTCTCCCAGGTGATTTGGATCAGGATACACCAGGAAGTTTGCTTTCGGCTGCCTCCGTCGGCGCGTGGGTGTGCAAACAGTGACCAATTTCACTGCCGGTTCGACTCCTTTAAATGGGGACTTTCACATTCGTCAGGCCTGAAAAAACAACGCCATCTTTTAAACAAAAAATCCATTTCCCCTTCCATCGGCTGCGGCTGCCACCGAAGGTATTTCTGTTTGAACAAGCAGGCCCTTCCCACCCGCTGCTGCCTTGCTGTGCCTGGCAGGGTCGTGCAGGTGGGTTTGCAAAAGCACAGCCGTTCCACTGGTGAAGATGCTCCAGCCATGGAGTTCTCTCTTCTCCTGCTGGGAAAATAGGAGCTTTTTTGGAAAGCTGAGCCCTTCCTGCTGGGCTGGCTTTGCTTTCTTAGGGGAGTTGCTTGAAACAGGGCAGAGGAGAGACGCGTGGGCTCGCCATGGCACATCATTGATGCTGTCGGTGATGCAAACAGGTTCGCAGCTCGGATGGTCCCTTTCCAATGTGATCATCAGGGTTACAAATTTCCGAGGTGATAAAAGGGCAAATTGGAAATGTCCCTATGGAGTTTGCTGCCTGACACTCAAGCACTCACCCTGAAAGACTCAAAATCCCAATTTCCTCAGTTGGGATTTCAGCTAGATGGCTTGGCTAAAATAAATGAGATTAATCTAATCAGAGAGATGGATGGAGCTCATTAAAACAGTAGATTAAAAAAACCCACCCTGCCTATTACTACTGCTCCTGAGGTCTTCTGCAAGTTATAGCCACCCAGGAATTGGATTCCCTTGCAGAAACCTGCAGGAAATGCATTAAAAATACATTCTGCTATTACAATTCTTCATGTCACCAGTCACTTGGGAAAGGAAATGAATGCAGGGCAATGCATATATATTTAAATACATACAATTGCCTCCTCTGGGATCAGGATTTATAGGCTGGGAGCGGTGGGCCCTGCTCTGAAACAGAAAGTGACAAGAGCAAATTGAAGTCACCTCAAGTGCTGTGCTGTTTTATTCTCTATAAATGCTATTTCCCCACCCTCAGCTTCATCACATGAAGCTAAGGACCAGAAAAGGGCAGAAGCTGGGTCTGGCATTGCACAAAGCTGAATGGGGAGCACCAGTGGAACTTCTGAACAGGATTTGGGCCAGACTAGTCCCATGATGAGCTTTACTGGTTTTATTTCTCATGACCAGTTGCTTTTCTGCCCAAAAGGCACCCTTTCTGCAGCTTTGAGCAGAGCAACCACCCCCGCAAAGCCTCTTTGTGCCCCTATTCGTGGGTGCAGGAGCTCTTTGGGATGAAACCACCGCGTGGATGCTCCTGCAAGTTCAAACGTGACCTTTGCATCGCATGCACGGAGCCCCATCACCTTCTCCTGGTGTTGAGTTTTCCATGTGGGAGCCACCAAGAGCTGCTCCAGTTGCCTCTTCGAGGCATCGCACATCCTATTTTTGGAAAGTTTCACACAGTAATTGTCAGCTTGCACGTGGTGAGCAGACAGCCCTGCTTCTCCCCACGGTCGGCCTGCTGCACTGAGGTGTGTGTTCTCTCTTGCAAAAAGTTAAACTAAAAAAAACCCAACCAACCAAAAACTGTGTTCACCTGCCTGCACAGCCCTCTATTTGGGAGGAGGTGAATTCCCCCGGGGTCCGGGTGACCTGGCAAACCCCATGTGCCGGATGGGCCTTGGGGTGCTTCAAGTGAGAGGAAAGAGCTGTCTGCGCTTCGGGGCAGATGGTTTTCCCAGCTCATTTCTCTATGGCGTCTCCCCCCAAGTCAAGGGCCAGTCGCCGTCTGATGTAGCTGCAGCGCCGCCCAAGCCAAGCAGTTTTCCCTTATTGTTGTTTGATGGGATGATTTTTACAGCTCCCCGGGGGCTTGAGGAAATCACCAACAGTTTAAGGAGATCACTCCAACACCACCTTGTGCTGCAGACAGGACAGACATGGTTTCAGGCTATGGCTACCACCCCAGCATGCAATCATTTGTGACAGCTAAACCGGTTACAATTCATCAGCTGGGCTGCATTAATTTCACCCCTAGCTTGCTGCAAACCCAGGGCAATGGTGGCAGCTCCAGCCACCTTTAAACCCACCTGAGATATTTTCCTTTGCAAGGGCAGCAGGCGAAGAGAGCCCAGCTGTGAAACTGTAACTAATTAGGGGTGGTAAAGGCGTTGTCTGTCCCCACATGGCATGCCAGCCCTGCGCCTTTCATCCTCTGCATTTCTCCAGCCACAACACCCAGACATCTTAAGCATTTCACAGACTTTAGAGGACAGAGCTGTGCCAGGACTGTTTTATGAGGGGCAGATCAAGGCCCCAGCTCCTGAAGGGGCTGGCTTTCATGCCTGTCCCTTGCACATGTGGGGCTGAGCACCCATCACCACCCGTGTGGAGCTGGGGGGATGGCGAGACCCTGAGACATCCCATCCCCTGCCCCATGGTGCTCCATAACCTCCCAGCTCCAGCCCCTGGCTGCACAGGTGTCAGCTGGTGGGTGTTATTGGATGCTTGGGAAATAAATTAAGAAGGGAAATAAATGCTGGGAGGGAGAAGAAAGGCAAATTGTTTATTGGCGCATAAGGCACTTCATCCCAGGCTGGGTGTTTTGCCCCACAGAAGGTTTAATCTTGATCCCAGCGAAGTCAAGGGGAGGTTATAGCAAATGAGTAGGTGGTTGGAGTCAGCCATTGCTTTCTGGGCCCACCAGAAAGAAAAATGGACAAAACCACATGAATAAAGTGAGGAGGAAGGATGCTGTGGCTGCTGCAAACCCAGCAGCACTCTCTGGAGCCTCTCCAGCTCTGCAGAGTCGTCTTTTTCACTTCATTCCCTCTGACAGGTCTGAGTTTAACACCCCAGCAGTTGACGCACTGAGCCACAGCCCCTCGCAGGCTTCAGGTACGAAAACGATCCGCGGACAGCGGGACACAGAGGAGCTTCTGCCATTCCCCAGGCAACAAGGGCAGCCGGGTACAGCGACCGCCCGTTGTTCGGCTCCGGCCTCCTCGCTCGGCATACCACGGTCTCCCAAATCCTTCGCAGCTCCCCCCTGTAAAACGCATTACAAGGGCAGGGGACAGGTAGGGAAGGCCAGGCTTCCTGAGACGCCCAAGCGGCGGATCCCGGGATGGCAGGCAAGCCCCTTCCCTCAGAGGGAAAGGCGACCGGCCTCGACGCCCCCGGCCGCGCCTGGAAACGCCTCACAGCGACGCCTCGCCCGGCCGCCGCCTCTCTCCTCGCACCCGCCGTCCCCCCTCGCCTCCGATGGGAGAGCCCCGCCGCGCCGCCTCGGCACGGCACCGGGCGCGTTCCATTCGCGAGGGAGGGGGACACAGGACCCCGGCGTTGCGGCCGTTCCCGTTGCGGGGCGGCCCATCGGCGCCAGCGCGGAGGGGTGCTCGACCCGCCGGGCTCCTTCAACGAGGCCGCGCCCGGGTGGCGGCGGCTCTGCGCTGCGCCCCGAGGAACGCCGGGGGCTCTCTGGCGCTGGCGAGGCGCAGCCGCCGTAAGGGTGGCTGCGGGACGCCCCCGAAGCAACGGCAGCGGGCTCGGTTTCCCCCCAGCCCGCCGCGCCGTGGCTCGGCCCCATTTGAAGGTGTGGCGGGCCGGGGCCGGCACGCGCCGCGGGGCTAACGGCGGTTCTGTGAGGGGAGAGACGCCGGCCCGGGCCCGGCCGCCCCGTGGGAGCACCGCCATGCCCAGTCCTCGGCCCCGGGCCCGGTCCGGCGACAATCAGCCCCCGCGGGAGGACGGCGGGTCCCGCGGCGAGAAGCTGCCGGCCTCCGGACCGTCACCCGGTACGGAGAAGGCGGGGCGAGGGGGGTTCGGAGAGCGGGGAAGCGGTGACCTGCCGGGGGCCATCGTACGTGGGGGCCTCGGGGCTTCTCCCACAGCCCTGCCGCCGATATTCAAACGGAGTTAAATGTTAAGATTTGGATATTTAATTCGTCACTAGGTGTCAGCCGCGCTCCGTGGGACCGGCCCGCGGGGCTTCGGCCGCCGCTGGGCGGGGGGGGACGTTGAGAGGGAGGAGGGTCCCTTTGCACGTACAGAAAGTGAGGTGTATTGTCGATAAAGAAATCTGCGCGTTTTCACTTTGTCACTTAAAAGTTGTTCAGTAATGTTTTAAACCCTCTTCTCTCACAAGACTGTGGTTAGCGTTCCTTCCCTTACTCACTTTTATTCTGCTTTTCTACAGCCATCCCTCCCCAAGTTCTCTCCATGAACAAGCTACAGGAAATAACCGATGACATTTCCAAACTGACCATTGTGCATGAAATTGTGCTCAACAGTGACTTCAAACTGCAAGCGGCCAGCTTCTCCCAGACAGGGGGGTGTGTGTGTGGGTGTGTGTGTGTGTATATATATATATCTATGTGTGTGTGTTCAGACTTGGCTTCTCTCTGTCACATTACAGAAAACGCGAGAATGTGGAAAAGAGGTGGGTTTGCATCTGACTGCAGAAGTAACAAGAAAACAAGATAGCTCCTGAAATAAAAAAAAAGTTGAAGCTTGTTTTATTTATTCATTGCTCCATGATTTACTAAGAAGTTCTTAAATACAATGAATGTCAGATATGACTCCTAATATTGAAAGATTTAGAGGCTTCAGCTGCGTAAACTGTGACTTCAGCATGAACAAAGCAGACTTTGCAGTGGAGATCTCTGAGGTGCCTATGTTTTAGCTGAAGATCTGTTTAAGTGACTTTGCAAAAAACAAGCACTAGCTAGAAAAACATTCTGCTGATCTTCTCTGAGGGCTTGGAGAGTTTCCTTGAAAAATGCTATGTTCTTTTTACCCCTCAGTTAAGGCAGGGTAAGTGCTGCATTTTATGAACAGGGTTAAAAGGAAGGAGTTCCACTTTAGAAGAATAGGAAATTTAGGTTGAGAGAGATTTCCATGAGCTGGAGAAAGGTGAGGTGCATTGCTGCCAGATGGGAATAAAGACCAACAGAATAACATGTCGAAAGACCTGAACCACAGTGAAAGCCAAGAGGTTGTGTTTTGTCTGATGTTAACAGAAAACCCCTCCCTTCCTCTCTTCTGTCTTAGCCTGGAAAACAGAGTGAAGGAGACCTTGCACAAAGCCTTCTGGGACAACCTGGAAGAACAGCTCTCTGCTAGTCCCCCAGACTACACTTGGGCAATCCAGCTGCTGCAGGAGATAAAAGAGGTGAGTTGTTCCTGAACCAAAGAAGATAGTTACCTTAGAATGAGTCTTCTCTGAATCATTACCTCACCCCTTACATCCAATATTCCTATGTGAACATGCGTAAGAGGGAGGAGAAAATAGGCTCCCTGTAGTTTATAGGGAGACACAAATTACACAACTGCACCTTCTAAAACCTGTCTGAGAAGAAAACTCATTCTCTGGTCCTGGATCTTTAAAACACAATCTACCAAAAGGATGGAAAGCTTTTGTTTGAACTGTTGGTTATAGTAATAGCCATAGGCCATTCCTGGTGCAGGGTCTGCCAAACAAAAACTGCAGTTCTCTATACAAAGACATCGCTTTAGGTATATGAGGAGCTGTATCTACTATGTAAATGTACAATGTAGTGAATAAGAACATGGTTTAGCACTAAAAGATGTGTGTTCTTAGCAGGGCGTGAAGCCGTGTATAGTTTGCTTTTTCAGTCTATGCGTTCCCATTAGACTCCAGACAGATAACTCCCTTCTTTCATGCATGACAGCAAAGGAGGTTTTGCAAGATTTGAAACAGCAGCCAGACATCCTGAAGTGAGTCATTAGAGTTGAGCGTTCCCTTAAAGCGCTTGTGTGCCCCAGAATTTGCGTACTGACTAGTTAGCTTAGCCTCAATACAAGGCCAGCCTCGATTCCTGCTGAGCGACTCTGGAGAACTGTCGAGTTCCTGGAACAAAAAGAGACTGCTGCTTCTTTGGGCAGGCCCTGCTATCATTGCTGCTGCCATGGCACAACCAACTGCGAAGCCAGATTGAAGAGGCCTTGGACATGGAGCTGATTAGACAGAAGGCTGAGCATGGTGCTCTGGATATCCACGGTCTCACCACGTATGTCCTTGGCACAATGGCAAGGCTGTGCGCGCCCATTCGAGATGAGGAAGTACAAGGGTTGCAAAGCCTCACAGACCCAACTCAACTTCTCAGGTGGGTGATGCTGACTCTGCCTTCGTCTACACAGACCAGCAGGCAAAACTTTCAACAATAAAACACTGGGATAAGAGGTAACTGCCTTGGATTATGGCCCAAGGACCCTTTTGTGCGTTCTGGGCTACAACTTATTGTTTTTCAGTGTAGACATATTCCTGTTGCCCAGCTGCAATTTAGATGGTAGAAGAGTCTTTAGTGAAGTAAATCTGGTGGATCTAGTAATTTTTAGGGACCACTCCAATTAGAGTGAACCTTTTGTGAGAAAATGGAATCACATCAGAGGATCTGAACTCCCCTTTCTCAGCATTTTAAAATGGCCCCAAATACAGCATTTACTGCAGCATTGAACCTTCAGTTCACTGTGTCTCATCCCAGGGAGATTTTCCGGGTGTTGGGCCTGATGAAAATGGATATGCTAAATTTTACCATCCAGACCCTCCGCACCCACTTGCAAGACCACACTGTCCAGTATGAACGGAAGAAATTCGAGCAACTCTTGGATAAGCTGCCTAGTAAGTCAGTGGGGAAGGGAGAGGAGAACTGCTACTCCTACAGGAGCTATTAAAACACTAAAACGGAACCCAAGTATTCCAAAGCTGATGCTTTCATCCTGTGCTCAGTAACAGATGAGAGAAATGCCTCTAAAAGCTGGACTTCTCCTGGGTCCCTTCCTCAAGGCTCTTCACGGACATACCTTGCAGAAAAGAAGTTAGTGTGCTTCAGTTTTTGCATGCATAAGACAGAGCTAATAGCTCTCTCATGATGAACTGTAAGTTCTCACGAGTTTAAAGTGTTTTGAGGTCCTCAGACGAACAAGCCAAATGTTGTTAGGAGGCATATTTAAAGAGGAAAGCCTGCATTTGATGTAGACATCTCTTTTTTGCTAGGCTGTAGAGGATTTCTCTCTGGCTGCCTCTCTCCTTCATCAGACTCCATTAAAGGTGCTTCTTGGAGACTGAAATCCCCTATACAATGTAACATTCTCTGGATACCAGTCTCAGCAGCCTAACCCTGTGCCCTGGCAACAGGACGTTAATACTGTGTGTTAAGCCATTCCTCACCGTTCCAGGAGCCAGCACGATGCCTTCGCCTTCCAAACGCACATCCCCTTCAGCCTGCAGTATAGCATACCCGCTTCTTACTGACTTAGCCTGACCAGTCTGTTCTTGGAAACATCCATTTTTGTTACCCCACTGCAGATAGCCTGGATCTCACGAGAGAGTGGCTGTGCAAAGCAGCAGCAGAAGTGTCTGCATCCTCTTCGCAGCCGCCACCCCACCCCGCAGTCAGTGGCTCAGCTGCCACACACTTGCCAGGGGCAGCCAGCAGTAGCACAACTGTGCCAAGTCTTGGGTCCGTGCTAAATCGAGGATACATGAATCTGCTCTGCTGGGAGCCTGGGCAAAAGGAATACCCTGAGGTAGGAGATGTGCTTGGACACAGCTTTTTCATAAAGATATACAAAATGAACAAGTGTACTGGTTCTGCATCTTCTATAGAAAGAGCTGGCCAGAGTCCCTGTCCCCTGTACACTATGAGTCACTGCATGTGTTTTTTCCCTATGTGAAACAAATTGGGATTTTTCACAAACCTAAACCTCCCTGCTGCCAGGCAGCTGCCTTCCACTCGGCTTCATGGGCATGTTACAGCCCTGCTCCATGGCTTGAGATCTGCTGAGCTGTCACAGCTGCCGTTTCTATGCCCTCAGGCTGCTTTGGTTTCTGTTCACAGACACTGTTGATGGATCAGGCCCGACTGCAGGAAGTACAAGCGCAGGTGAATCAGCTTACCATCATAGCTGCAGTCCTGCTAGTGACCAGTGGCATGTGTGGAAGCACCTTATGTGGCTCACCTGGGATTGTAGCTAGGCTGAAACGGGTAACAAAGGTCCTCTTGGAAGGGCTGTCTTGTACCAGGTGGGTTACTTTGAGTTTTCTTTTCCAGAAGGAGAAGAGTGAGTATGCAGGCACTGGTTTGTTGTGGGATGAGCAGCAGGAATCTCTCCCAGGAGTGGAAGAGGATCTGAGATCCAAATAGCAGCTAGGTCTACTGCAAGGAGTGGGGGAAGCTGGCCAGCATTTTTAGCTGGGAGTTAACTCTCTAGAGCAATAGTCCCTTCTTGATTACAGGGGATACTTAGTAGTGCTGATCACTATTTCATGAGTTAGCTGCAGGGCAGCCTACTGCTTGCCAAAAAGCCAGGAAGGGAAGCTTAGTTCACAGAGCTCTGGCTTAATGTTGCCTGTCCTATGCTAGCTGGCTGTGGTGACACTCCACGGGCACATGGGGAGACTTCCCTCCTTGCTCTGTGCCTGCAAGACCCCTTCCCAAACCAATGCGAGTTGTCCATCCCTTGGCCACCAGTGTCCCTTCTTGGAGATGCCACCACCCAACCAATGCGAGTCGTGGCCAGAGCACATGTACCTTTGTATGATTTAGGTGTGAAGAAGCTTTAGAAGATGTTGGTGACCAAGTGCTCCAGGAAGTCAGCAGGACTCTCTCACAGCTGGGTTACCCTGCTTTCACCACTGACAAGTGTGCTTCCCTGAAAGGCCAGATAAAAAGCATTGCAGACAAGGGCAATGCAGTCCGGCACATCATCAGTGAGTCTCTGAGCTTATCTCTAACTGGACCTTGAAGCCACTTTGCACTCGTAGGCCACAACTTAGGTTGAGGCTAGTGATGCTGGAGGATGCAGGATAGGTCTAGGATTGGTACTAGCAAAACAAACTTGCACTGAGCAGAACTACTGCTTGAGGGTGGGAGCCAAGTTCAGTGCCTGGCCGCTCCACCTAGTCTGCACAGGAGAGGAGGGTCAGGAAGCTAGGTTTCAAAACTGCCTTGATTTTCCTATTTAACTGTGAAACACTCGCAAACAGTAATTGCTTTGAAAAATCTCTTAAAGCCTCCCATCCTTGCTAAAAACTGACCAGGCCCAAGTGCAAGGTCTGTTCCTAGGTAGTGTTGCAATCTTCAGGCTAGGATGTGGAGTGAGAGCTTAATCACTGGCTGTAGTAAAGCACCATGCTTAGAGCTTTAAATAATATTTATCCCTAGGCAGTGCATTGCTTGGTATTCAGCTAACCAGCTGCCCTACAATGCTGCTCCATCAAAATATTTATTCAAATGGTTTGGGTAAGAGCTGGTTGTTTTGACCTCTTATTAGTACTCTGAACGCTAACTCCGCATCAGATTGCAGTGCCACAGGCAGCGGGTACACTACAGGAAGGATTATTTCCACATGGAAGACTAGCTTGTATCAGCTATGAAAATAAGGTGAGGCTCTTCCTGCCCACTGCTTCATCTAGTTAAGTATCCTTCCCAGCCTGTGCAGACTCCACCACACTGTTTATTTGGGTTTATTCTTTCCATGTCAGAACAGGCTATTTTGTTTTGATGCAATTCAGAAGGCTGAATTAACAGCCTAAACCGAACCTCGATAAACTACAGGCTGGGCAGTGTGTGATGGCAGTGACTCATTGATGGTGTAGCATTAGAAGCTGCAGAACTAGACAGCCTTCCCCTGCTCCGTGTCTAGAAAATCAAACCTGTGTCTTGCCTGCACTCTTGGCCACTATCAACATTTTCCACATACTCACTTCAAGTGCAAGAACATCTGAAGCAGCCGGGTAGTTGAATCTCAGCTCTGTGTTCCTCAGAGAGTCTTCCTGAATGCTTTCAATTTCAAAATGCTGCTGTGGCAGGCAAGATAAATCCTGGGCTCTCAAGTTCTGTATTCCATTATGCTTCTAAGATGCTTGACACTTCAATGCAGTACAAAAACTCTCAAGAGTGGGTGAAAAAAATCTTTACTGTTGACCTGCTCCACTCTAATGTTAGATTTGACCATTCTTAAGTCCTTCAGCCCAATACCTCAGCAATAGCCATCATTAGAAGCAGCTACCCAGGACAAAGTGAGAACAAGGCAAGTACACCTGATACTTGGGTGCTCTCCTTGTGTCACAGTTTCACCTCGGTTCCTGTGCTGGGTACTGTTTCATCTGCGTAGTGTTTGGAAGAGGACTAGTTATCCACTGTGTCCCTGAATCCATCCAGAGCATCACTTGTCCACAACATCCTGCCACGACGCGGCTGTCTTCCGATCTGCTCTTGACTGCGTGAGGAAGGCTTTGTCTCAAAACTAGCTTTCTGTGCAAAGGTTGACTGTTGATTTTTTTTTTTGTTTTCATACTTTTGCTCCCTACTGAGCAGCGGATTCATTCCTTCCTCAGCCTTTTCATTTCCCCTGATGGACTGAATTCTCAAAAAGATTTCCCAAAGGGCCTTGATACCATTCAGGAAGAGCTGTTGGAAGTTGGGCACAGGTTTGGAAGCGTGATCCAGCACAACAGGCAGCTGTTTGCACCTTACTACTCAGGAATTCTCAAGAAGGTGCTTCTTCCAGACGCAGAACCAGACTTGGACACAGGGATGGATTCTTTCTGATCATCTTCACCACATACCAGGCAGGGGTGGAACAGTTTCTCATATCATGCATCAGCTTCTAAAAATCAATCGGACAAATCCACCAAGGCCAGCATTGCTACTGGGAAGTGACTCTTGGCATGTCAGTATCTGAATAAACCTCTCAACTACAAAAGGTAGTGGCTTTTTTTTCCCAAAAAAACTGCCATGATTTGGTGGGGAAGGCAATGGGATGTGGAGCTTATAAAACTGCAGTGCAGCTTAGGCTTTTTTTAATTCAAGGCGTTAATTCTGCCATGGGCCTGTAACCTACTTTGCTGAAACGTTAGTCACAGCCCAGGGACGCTGTTTGCATTTGATAAAGCCACATGGTATTTAAAATCATTAAAACGGCTCAATATATTTCAATGTTAGCTTGAAAACCTGACTTACTGAATTATTAGAAATGGAACATATGGTATAAGTTTAGCAATCCCCAGTGTATTTAGTATTTTACATCAGACATACTTTACCTGACATGAAAACCTGATCTTTAACCTGTATTTAAGTGTCTGGATTTCTTGCTCTAATTTTACATAATGAAAACGTCCTACTTCTTGGAAAGCCAAAAATCTTTGCTGGGTAAATACTATATACAGTGGCTGCCCAAACTCTTACAGTTGTTACATGAATCAGTTGCTGCCGTACTGCAGAAAAGCGATTTTACTGTTAATCATGAGTAAATTAGGGTCCTGACAGTCCCCAATGGAACAATCCTTGCAGAGTTACATTAACGGGGCTAAAAATGAGCTTTTTCTCACCATCATGTGGAGAGCATACACAAAGCAGTTGGAGACCATCGTGCTTAGGTAGGTCTACCTTTAGACACGTGGCTGTGTTTTTATGCATAAATTAGTTTGTCACAAAATCATAATATTCAATATTTGCGGTCGTTATGACTAACTGCAAGAGCAGCAGCTTCAACCAAAGTGACTACTTGGCAGCCAGTGCTCTCCCTTCTACACACCTTGGGACAGCACAAACCCCTGATTCCGCTACCGAAGAACTACAGCAGGACTGCTCCCAGCTTTATCAGCATCCTGCGCCCTGCTTCCACAACTGCAGCATGTCATCTCTGCGCAACCCTCTGATGTTTTCTTGTTCCTTGGATTTACAAAGCAGGTGCAGTGCTCGACTGAGCTAATTCAACACCCCCCAGCTCCCGCCCTTTTCTCACCCCTTTTCTCTTAACCTTTGCAGGTCAGGTCTGTTAGATGAGGACGAGAACAGCATTGCTTTAACACACACGAGCAAGAGGCTTCGATGTAACACTGAGGTCACAGTGACAACAGGACAAATATGTGTCTAAGTTTGTTTATTAATTCAGTCTGTTCTAAGTTGTACAATTATGAAAACAACAAAACGACTGCTGGAAGCCCAGGAATATTTACAATCTCGCCTTGTTGTAGTGAGGTCAGTCTATGTTGTTGCACAGATTGGTTATGTTTGGTACCACAAGATGTTTAAAATTCAGACAAATTTGAACAGATTAACAATTGTATATACAGGAAATAAAAGGAAATTCAAGTATCAAAATACAGACAGATTAAATAACATTTGTATTACAAATCAGTCCCACTGCCGTACATCACAATTAGCAAAAATGTCTACATTGCAAACTGAACTTGACTGTTCTCTGCCCTGTTAGGGAATCTCAGGTTATTCTTCCATGGGTAAGAAAAATTTTTGAGCTAGATGGACTTTGCAAGAGCAGCACAGTTACTTTCTTCTGGGGGAGAAAAAAAAATGCAGTAAGTAATGCCAATATGAGACATAAAAGGGAGACTTTTTGCAACAAGACAGCGCTGCAAACACTGTGCTTGCTCTAAAAGATCTGATTGCACAGAAGTGATGTGAGCAGAAGAAAGCCAGGGGAAAGTCTGCTGCTAGAAACTTCTGAAGTGGGGCGGAAGGAGCGTTAAAGCCATTGACTCCACTTCAGCTGCACCCAGAACTGGAGGGGTTCGAAGGGACTATTTGGCATCTGGTCTGTGTCTCAGCAGCCTCAGGAAGGTACAAAATCCTCACTGGAGGTACATCCTGGAAGGTGCCGTATCTCCTCCCTGGGAGGGGGACAGGCATGTACCCTGCAAAAGTTGCATCATTTCTTCTTAAAAGAACAATCCCAAAGCAAGTTCAAAGACAGCTGAAGTGCTAAGATTAGCTTTTTTTTTTTTTTTTTGTAAATACAAAATTAAAAAGGATAAAGCAGCTTAAATTTTGGAAAAAAAAATAATAATCCCCTCCTATATAAAAAAAAGACAACTCTGCATCTTAGTTTACCTATCTTGAGTTCTTTGCCTGGACTCATGCCATGCACAAACCGAAGTCTGTAAAATACAATCTGTCCTTAAAAAGGGGAACAAGGCCCAGGGCAGCACCGCCTTTTCCCAGGCAGGTAATACAGCAGATGCGTTTTGATTCAAAGTCATATTCAGCACCAGAAATTTAGGGCACTTTCCTCCAGCTACCACAAAACCCTGTAGAGAGGAAAAGCCACAATACTGTGCAATGGATGGGCTAACAGATTACTGGGAGTCAGCAATGGGCACGGTCCGGGATCAGGCTCCAGCATGCAAGTACCTTGAGAAAACCCATCAAAATAAAAGGGGAGATGCACTGCCAAAACAACTGCTTTGCCTATGAAGTGAGAAAGAGAGTATCTGGCTAAAGAACTGTTGGATCACTAAAGACAACCATAGGTTTACACGCAGGACTGGAAAGGACCACCAGGGTCACCAAGCCCAGTCCCCTGAAGATTGGAGTCTTCATCACCACATCACCTCCAAGCCAACCTTCAAAAAGCTCATTGCATCAAAAAGAAAGGTGTCCCTCCTCCCAAGCAGAGGTTCAATTTGCAATCTCTCCAAAAAGACTTGTTGCCAACACACCAAATATTTACACTTACACCAGTATGAATTGCAACATATGCATAACAAGGAATGTTAGGTTTCCTAAATTCATCAACTTAAAAAAAAAAAATCTCCACTTCCCCCTCCTAATCATTTACAGGTCTATGCCCTTGGGATTACGGTTCACTTCTCTCCCAGCCTTACTGGCTAGAGAGACTAAATGAAATCCTGACATACAGCAGCAACTGGAGTTAAACAGGAATTATTTGGGCATATCATTCTAGTAAAGCAGCAGGGTACCACATCCCCAACCATTACAATGCCTGTCGAGATTATAACAAACGTGCTGCGCTACATTTTTGCATCTGAAGAATTAAAATTGCAACCATTTTAACATCTCTCCCTTGAGGGGAACCATACTGTGAAAACACATCAGTCAGCCAAAACTACTGTTAAACACTCTGGTAATTTGCAAGAAAAGTAAGCACACAGCACCTTCGAGATGGTGGTATTTGGGGATACCCGACTTAGAGGGGGCCAAGCCATCCTCAGGTTGATACAATCTATCCTCAGGTATGGACTGTTTCAGTATAATGCCCAAAATTTAACTCCTTATTTGTTCATCTTCTGAAACTGTCGCACTAATTAAATAATGAGCTAGTATCAAAAAAGTGCTAAATCACAATTGAATATACTTAAAAAAACCCCCCAACCCTTCAGGGCATAACTGCATTTAAAAACAAGACAGGTGCACAAGAGGCTGGAGAAGGGAGTCGTCTCCAGGTAGTCAGTGCCTAAATGGGAAGAAATTGTGTCCTTGCCATAGAAATGTCAAGTATTGCAATACAACAGTTCTCTGTTGGGGAAGCAAGCTTTGTACCATCGGTAATACTTGGCCACAACCACTCTGGGGTGAAAGATCCTTTGCAGACTCTTTTCTTTAAGTTATTTCCATTTGCTATAAAAGTGTGGAGTAGCTTTGAAAACGAAGGATGCAGACTTACCCTGCAAGGCTTCTCACACTGGAGGAAGTTATTTCCAAGAATTTGGCGTTCTCTACTGTTCACCCAGAATTGAAGCAAATTTAAGTACCGTTAGAGATGCACACACCACTCCCACTGCTAAGACTTTCTATTGTACTCCTTGCGGACTGCGTGGATTCTCAGTAAATAAGAATATATTTTTTTTTCCTCACCAAAAAAACGCAGTGCTACATTTAAACCATGAACTGGATTTGCTCTGTATCATTTTGCACGTTTAAAAAGAAACGGGTCGAAAGACGTTTGTCTCAAACTAGAAAAGGTGACATCGCTCTCAGCCTCGGAAGTCTCAACTTTCCTTTGCTAGAAATGGAGAGAGCTGCTTTTCTCAGCTGGTGGCTGGGATCCCTTTCCCCCCTCTGCTTTGGGAGCCCTCACTGAGCAGCCATGCACCCACTCCGAGGCAGACACCAGTGCCAGATGGAGATGATCTTCGTGTCAGCAGGCCACTGCTTCTTAGGTCTCTGCCCCGTTACTACATTTCCGTGGTAGGAGACAGCTGCCCGGAGATCAGCTTTTCAGAGGCAAACAGAAAGGAAGATAATGGAATGAATGATTTCCGAGTCATACAAAAACAAGTGCTGGGAAAGATGAGGCATACGGCCAGGAGATGAGACACAACCGTGAGGGTTATGGACACACAGCGGAAGCTCTGTAGTTTAGGTAGGGCTGCCTGTGATCCCAGCTGGGTTTGGACGGTCACCCTTAGAAAGGCACATGCTCTAGTGACCCGGTTTTAGGAGGTGCTGAGGAATCTTCCCTGCCCAGCTGAAAGCAGGGGGAGATGCATGAGCTCAGACCCTCTAAAGTCAGGCGTACGTGTGGACAACTGCACCGTGAATAGTTACACACAGAAACTGCACTACCACTGCTACGGTTAATTCAGTTTCTCTTTGAAGGATATAGAAACCCTCAGGGCACTCTTACAGCTTGGAAAGATGCTGATCGAACCCAAACCCAATCTCTCGGAGCCCCTCAGACACAGTAATATTCTGCTGTCCACAACGCTTTGCCTGGCAGGATGGCACTGCAGCCCTTCTTTAGGCAGAGCGCTGGCTCTATGTTAAAAGGCTCCATGGCATATGAAATACATGTACTAGACTGAACTACCCTTTTTTTTTTTTTTTTTTTTTTTTTAACAAAATCCTTTCAGTCCTCTCACTTGGGTTCTTACTAGCCTGGCCCTTATTTTGAAGTCAGTTTGCCACTCAGTGCCATCACGCCACAAGTGACTTGGGAGATGAAACTCATTCCTGAGAAAGGGCTGAATAAAGATTTTGAAACATCAGATTTCACCACAAGTCTGGGGGAACAGAAGCTTTGAGCCAACAGCTCCAAAGCCTCAGCAAAACTCGGACAAGCTTCTTCCAGCCCCTAAATACCAGGTGCAAATAAGCCAGGGCTGCTGTTCTGACCTCTCCCCAGTGATGCCAACTGGTGATCGCGAAGGGAGATTCAGGGTAAACCCTAAAACCTGTTTTGGAAATGGAGCTTCACCAGAGATCCGAAGGCACCCTCTTCCCCATTTATGTCTAAGATGTCCACCCAGACACGTCACGCAGAGGTGAGTGGGTAGCTGCCGTCCACCTTCCTTCGCAGCTCTCTAACAGACCCACCGTCACAACCACCTCTCCAAAACTGGGCTGCGAGGGGATTTTGCCAAGATGCAAAACCCAAGGTGAGTTCACATTCACCTCAAGGTGCACATCAGTGAGTTTTGTACAGCCCAACTACCGCACGGCTGCAACCCCCTCTCCCGCTGCTCCATCTGCTCAGCCCTCTCCCTGGGAAAGGTGCGACAGCCGCTGCCTGCGAGGAGCTGGTCGGGGTCCAAGATGCAGCTTTGCTACGAGGCCGTTTGTGCGAGTTAAGTACTTCATCTGTCAGGAGAGCGAGGCTGAGCATCGGGGGTTTGCTGCCACGGTGTGGAAGTTGCAGTGCCTTTCACTAAAGGGTCTTAAAAGTGCTCTGCAAACGGAGCGAGCCTTACACCCCCGAGAGGTAGGTGAGTACGTCCCCATCCTGTATACGGGGAAACTGAGGTAAAGAGAGGCAAAGTCGCTGGGACGCACAGCAAGTCAGGGAGAAGCAGCACCAGGGCAGGAGTCCTGCCTCCCAGTGCTGTTATTCATCAGATCCTCCTCCTCCTCAGTTTCATCTCGGTGAGCTTTGCAAACGCAAGCGAAGGAACCAGGGGTAGGGCCATGGCCGACTCATAGGGGCTTTCGCTGGGTTGCGAACCGCCGTACGGCATTCCCAGACCTGTCCCAGCTCTGCTCCAACCTGTGCCAAATGCCCTGCGGTCTCACGCAAACGATTCCCAGTCATACTCTGGAATTAAAAGCTGCTTCTACTGAGATACACAGAAATGGGGACATTTTCCCAGAGGAAAAACATGCGCATTTGAGAAACAGCCAGAAAAGGCAGAGGCGCCCATTGCAGGGCCATCTCTCAGTGAAATCCTCACTCTCAAGGATGGAAAGCGACAGATGTTTCAAGATCCCTATAGCCCTCATCACGCAATGGTTTGTAGACTGAAAACAAGCTTTGGGATCAGCAGCAGACTGATTTCAATCACATTTCTCCCTTCAGCAAAAAAAGTACAACTGCGGTAAGCCTGCTGAACACAGCAGAGCTCCGTCTGCTTTATCAGACCTCTAACAGCGCAGTAACCAGCCCCTCTCAAAAACCTTTCCTTCCCAACACGGGGCTAACAACATGTGCCTTTAAAAGCTTAACCTCTTTACAATCTGCCAAGTGAGAACTACGCCCAAAGCTCACGAGAAGTCTGGTGAGTGTAAACAGAAGGACTATGGCGGGGAAAAATATCCTACAAGGGACTGAAATGCATGCAACCAAAACTGCACCTCGTCTCTGAGAGGGGACAGAGCTCACAGTGGGAACGATCACACCCGGCCCAAACCAGTGCTCCCGTCAGAGCAGGTTTTCTGCTCCAGGCTTTGAGGGGAGAGATTGTGGGCAAGGGTCCCCGTGAGGAAATCTAGTGAACGTGTGTTATTTGCAGACAGCATCACAGTGGTTAGTGTCGATTCGAATGGCAGGTAAGAAGAGGGGTGAGTTCACTGGAACAGTACACAGCCGTGGCTCAGTCGGGAAGAAGAGGATCTAGGAGGAGGGAGTGCGTGCACCGCAGAGACAAGAAGTCTCCATCAGTCCAAGGATAAGAAGGTGAAATAGAAAAAAAGGCCTGGGGAGTGTCACGTTCCCCCAGGGATTCACAGTGCCAGAGCGAGGGGAAAGACGTGAAAACGGCAGGCGGCTTCCTGGATCCACATCTCTGATTCCCCCCAGCCTGCATCCCTCTGCACCTCCCACCTCACAGATATCTAACAGTGTGTTACCCTTGTTTCCGAGTAAGGAGAATTCACAGTGTTCAGTAGTGATCAGGTACAAAAGCCGTTTAAGTCTACAGTCTCCTAAGTGCTGCTGCCTTTGACGTAGTGCCTACGCGGGGCTCAGTGCGAGCAGCTGGAGGAAGAGGGAGTTTAGAACAGCAGACAGATCAGATCGCAAAGGCACGGTTAGACTAGGTGGACACGGGGTGTGTTTGCTTTAGAAGATAGTGGTCTCATACTTAGTGCTGAGGGTCCGCTTGGAGTCCTGTTTGGGGTCCACGACCCAGGAGACACTGGCATGAGACTGGGAATCTTGGTCCACTTCAGGGGGCTCCAGCTAGAAAATAAGGAGAGAAAGGGCATGTTAGGTCACCCATGCTTCCAGGATAGAACAAGTGGGGATTCAAAGCACGGAGAGGCTGCTGCTCTGCCTAACGCCCATCCCAAAAACGTGCACGTGTGCAGGGAAGCAGCTCTCGCTGGGGAGGCATTCGAGTCCTTCACAGCCAGAACATGTCTAGCCACGTCAGTCTCAACCCAGCACCCTGAGATGACTTCCTGCGTTAGGCCTGCAAGCCCCTATTACCATTAGCGACAGCTTCGCTTCATCTCACAAATAAGCATGAAAAATTGAGCACTATAAAGATGGCACTATAAAAAAAAAAAAAAAACAAACAAAAAACAAAAAAAGAGGCAGAGGGAGAGAGAGGGAGACAGCTCCTGGCAGGTGAGCTCCCATGTGATTTACTCTCCTGACCAAGCATGGCTCTTTCATCTTGTCCTCCTAAATCAGGATCCTACAGGAAGGTTAACAACACCAGAAAGAGCAACGTGGTTAGTTGAGAGCTGCCACTCTACATCAGCGGGGGCGGACATGAGCGGTTTATCCCTGGGGTTCATCTGAGCCCATGGCACGGCCCTGGAACGAGCGGGGAGGGAAGACAGCAGCGAGGCAGGACACGGGACCACAGCAGGAGACGCGGGAAGCGGGGAGGCAGGCGGGCCAGTGGCAGCTGGGGCAGCCCGGGTCAGTTCGTAATGGAAGATGGCAGGAAGAAGGGTAAAGACCTTAGCTCCAGGACTAACAGACTGCAGCGGCAGGTAGGAGGGGCGGTGTGTTGTACAGGTGTGACAGTAACAACAGCGAGTGTCGGGAGGGAGCGGCACCTGAGCGGGGGGAGCAAGCAGAACACAGACAAAAGGAGACATTAAAGGAAGGCAATGGCTTATGCAGCAGTCCCTGCTCCTCAGCAGCTCCAGTCTTGGCTGGTTTTGGCTACAGGGGCACTCCTGTACTGCAAACCGCAGGTTACCTGCGGATCTTACTGCGGCTCTGCAGGGTTTGCACGTGGAAGCTGTGCTGGACCCAGCAGGGCACTTAAGCCCCATCCCACCCGGGCTATTTCCACCTCTGCTTGCCCTCATCCTACCAGGGGAAGGCCTAACCCCGCAGCAGGACTGCCAGCAGAGCCACGGACACTACAATATCAGCTACAGGCACCTTGTCTGCATCTGGGCTCCCCCCCACCACCAAGGGGGAGGTTTAAGCATGTGGCGCCCAAGAGAAATCCCAGCTCAGACCATGCAGATCGCACCCGGCTCGCGCATACATACTGCAGATTTCCTCATGCCGGCTCGCGGTTTAGGCACCGGTTTGGAAGATTTTGTTTCAATCATTTCTCCTGCTCCAGCACCCAGAGGCTTTGCTCTCTGGGCTTGAAGGGCCAGCTGGTAGGCGACCTCAAACGCCTGCCCCAACGTAAGGATGATCTCGTACGTCAGGTTCTTTGGAGAGAACACAGAAAACACAAAGTCGTTAGGTGCATACGAGCTACTTTGCCCTGTGCAGAGTCCATGCGCTCAACAGCTTGCTCTGGAGATGCAGACCTCGGCAGAGCCCGTCACCTTTCCGTTAGCAGGTCGCATCCTGCCGTATCCCTGGCAAAGCCACTGAGCTCCCCCCTGCCCCGCGGGGGAGCTGGCAGTGAGCTGCCTCCACGCTTGCATAGCCTCGGCTGGTGGGACCACCTGCGAGCCTGCTACAGCCCTGCAAGCATCGCAGTTTAGCAGCGTTTTGCATTGTAAAGAGAAAAAGCCAAAACATCTTGTACAGCTGATTCTGCCCAAGAATAAAAGCAAGTTATGCTTCCACTCTCGGTGAATTAAAAGGCTGTTAAATCAGCCTATTACGCTCAACATAATTGAGCGTATTAGGGTTTTGTTCACAGCATATTCCCCAGGAGGGAAAAACTCCTGCCCTGCTTTATTCAGCACTGGAGACTGCAGTAATGAAGCCAGACAAATATTCTCTTTGTCGACAGAGCTCCAAAGTAAAAGCATTTTGAGCCAGGACTCTGAAAGGAATATTTTATGGTAGAAACTGGTAAGAGAGTCCTAGAACAGACCAGATCCTGGTCTATGACTCGCCAATAAAGCTGAGCAATGAAACAAGGGGACTGCAAAGGACTACAGCGTGCTGCGAGACAAGATGTGATAACCCACTCACCACGTCCACGGTGCTGAAGACATGGCAGTAGTGGTGGCTGGTCTGCAGGTCCTTGGTGATGTAGGCGAACGTGCAGAGATCCTCAGGGTCCTGAGCAGCGCAGGAGATGTTCCGGATCTCGTGCTCAGCAATGACATTCTGCCGGGGTCAACCACAAGCACCCGTCACCCTTCTGGGGATGGCAAATACACCCAGCAAATGGTGGTTGTGGCAAGCATGTACTGGGGGCAGGGAGCGAAACAGGTAACGGCAGGGAGGAGGAGTCTCCCAGCCAGACCAGTCCTAGCTCCCTCCCATGGTAGGAATAAATGGCAACACGGTCCACAAGCAGCCAGACTGCCAAGCCTTCGGCATTCAGGTAACCATCACCACCTTGGTTCTCTCCCATAGCCCTAGCAGCTCCTCAGCGGCTTCTGTAGCCACTAACTGTGACTTGCAGCCCCCCAGGCAGGTGGGACTGCAGGTCTTGTCCCTCCGGACACCAACTTCGAGGCATCTGAAGCTCACCTTGTTAGAGGCATCGATGAACTTCACCCCCTTGTACGTGATGGACAGTATTATGGTCGGGATCTTCTTCATGTGCTCTGTGGATTTCTTCAGAAACAAGAACATTCAAGTGACTAGTTGTGGATAAATGCTCCCTTCTTCACCACCGCCCCAGCCCACCCCAGAGACCTCCAGGCCACTGCCCCGCAAGGGCAGGCTTTGGGGGTCTTGGACCAGGAGGAGGAAAGCCTGCTCTTGGTGGAAGCAGAGGGGAAGGGATGGGGACCTGAAGCAAACCCAGCACCCCTTTCCCAGGGAGAATGCCCATTCTCCCACTGCACAGACCTTCCAACTATGGGGAAAAGTGCTGGAGAGGGGCAGTTCACCAGCGACAGTGGCACAGCCTGTTAAGTAGCCTGGGCCCCTGCTCTGCACAACGGCAGCCTGCAGGGTTTGGCTAACCACAGCTTCACTAAGACCTCCCCATTCCCTTCTCCACATCATCCACCACAGGCTGTGAGCAAACCCCCCCTGTCCCTGTGGCCTCCGTACCCTCATCTTGGCACAGGCATCCTGCGTAGACTCTGTCCCTCGAAGGTCTTTGATCAACATGGAGCCCAAGTACTGTTTGGAAGAGGGAGAGATGGTAACGGCTTCACGCAGGAAACCCTGGCAAACCCAAGGCAATGCCGTGGTCCCATGAGCGGCCAGCAGCCATGGCTGGCGAGGGACAGGTCACCCAGGGAAGGGCAGGAAGCGTGACAACCCCACACACAACAACCTGACCCCAGAGCCTCCTCATCCTTGCCACCCCCACAAGCCAAAAGCCACTTACATTGGCCTCATACCCGCAGGACTCAAAGATGAGCTTCTCCGGCTGGTGCTGCCAGTTTTGGACTGGGGCGTACGGGGCAGCCAGGCTGGGGGGGCGCAGGGTCAGCTTTGACTCCCGACGGTCCTCCTGGAAGGGAAGAAACATGGATGTGACACCACAACAGGGCCAATATGGATTAAAACACGGATCCCAGGAGGGCTCTTCGGGTTGACGCAATTGAGGTTCACAATGGCCAAAATCCCACAGGGGCTGGGAGGAGGCAGCGCGCTGCGGGTGAAGGTGCCAGCACTCATGGAATTGCGAGTCACCCACTTCCAAGGTGAGACTGAGGCATGAATGAGCTGCTGGCTCTAATGCTTGAGCCAGCAACAGTGTGCAAAGCTGTGCCTGACCAGCTCCCTGTCTCTCCATGCATCGCCCTAACTCCTCGCTGGCTCCAGAGCGGGGGGAGCCTGCACTAAGCTGTGCAGCGGGGCCCCCAGGACACACAAAAGCACCCACTGACCTGTGCTTTGTAGCGCTCAGCTCTGGAGTAGGGAACAACCTCGGTGCCACGGTCATGTTGCCTCTTCCCAGTGTCCCCGGAGGGCAGCAGCAGATCGGCAGATCTGCCCGTGCAGGAGTCGTTCTGGCTCAGGGGTGACGATGTCTGGGACATCAAGTCCTGGCACTGAAACAAGCAGACACCACGAACCGTCCTGGTCAGCCTGTGCTGCAGACGTGCCCACCCCTCGCTCCCCTTTACAGTGTCCAACACAAAAGGTGCAACGAGCAGAGTTAATGGGCTCCTGCCTCAGCATCATCAATCACACCATTTATTTTCTGCACGATACCCCTGATTTGCTCCAGGATGGTTTCAGGCAGGTATACAGCCCTTTCTGCCGAGCATGCCTCTGCCCGCTGTGAGCTCATCCCAGGAGGGCAGGAGACACGCTGAGCTGCGGGCAGGGTGTTTATAGAGGAGCAGACCCCGCTAAAGCACTAAGCAAAGCGCTCAAAGCCGCTAATGATCAGCCACCCCAGGAGAAAAGCCCTGGGAGCCCAGCGAGAGATCAGCCCAGATGCCTGACAGCCTGGCTCTTACTGCAGGCAAGATTCACTGCCTGTACGTGCCAAGCGGCCCAGCAGACAATGCGGGAAGCTCACAGCTGCAACACGCATTAGTCCTATTCAACGGACTTGCTTAATTTGCCATTGACGTCCTTCCGCTCCCCACGCCGGAGCCAGGCGCTGGATCGCACCAGCTGTAGCACCAGGAAATGCTGCAAATGGCCCATTCTCTTACACAGCCTCCCCGTCCAGCATATCAATCAGTTGATGCCGCACCAAAGGACTCCTCTCCCCCCCACCAACAATCCCGCCTTTAGTCTCATCGATCTCAAGAGGACATTTCAGAGAAGTGCAGATCCTCAGCTGGCTGCTGCCTGTCCAGGTTTTTGTTGTCTGAAAAGGGGGTGGTTGAGCAGCAGGGTAAAGGTGTGGGGTTTGTACGTGGCCCCCTCCCGGCTCCTGAGCACACTCTTTAAGTACAGTACCCGTGTGAACCTTCTCTTTTTGCACCCGAACCCCAGTTCCTAAAAAATCCAGTGTGAGCAAAGCAGGGCACAGCAGTCCAACTCGCTTCAGATAAGACTGTTTTGGTTGAAAAGCCTTGGGAATCCAAGGCAAAAGGGAAGAGCTCTGCAGCAGGGCAAGGACCAGATGTTTGGGATGGGGAAACTCCAATCACTCCCAATTCCCGCTCCAGGAAGCTGATCTGCAAACACTAGGAAGAAGCAGCACGAGACACTTGCCTTCTGTGGCATGCTGCCCCACTCCCGAGCTCACAGGTTAGCTCCAAGTTCAACGGGTTTTGCCAAACTCAGCTCTCAAATGTCAGTTTTCAGGAAGAACGGCAAACGTGACAGCTCCCCTCCCAGCCAACCCCGATAACGAAGGGCCTGACATCCAAAGGCTCCCACTCCCACAGCAAAAAATCAACCTCCACAAATCACGTTGAGTGCTATTTGGCAGCGAGAGCAAGAGCTCTAGAGAAGCCCAGCCAGCCTAGGGAGACAAATCTGACTCCCAACCGGCACAATCAAAATACCAGGTCCCAGCTGCATCCCATCTCACCAGCTGAGCCATGTCACACTCCTGCCTGTGGGAAGTCGGCCTTAAATCTGGCCAGGAAACAAGGGGAAGAAAGTCAGCTCAGTATTCCCCTTCGTGCAGAGCACAGAGACAGGAGTAGTGCCCTGCTACCTGTTCAGTGCAGGCACCCACCTTGCATGGAGGCACCTGATCCGAAAGAGCTGCCTGACATTTCCCATGGGGCAGCCATCCAGAATTTGACCTGCAAGGGCTGAATATTATCTTCTCATGCTTATTTCAATAGCAGGGTCATGCCTGTGCGAGTATTTGCTCTTTGGGTCACTGGAATTGATAAGGTGAAAAGCTGAATGGATACAACTGGCCACGTTAAGATTTCTTCCAGCACTGACTTGTTCGCACACTTCAGCTTCGTTTTGCACATGGAAGAGGGAGTTTGACCCGCAAAGAAGAAAGCTAAGAGTTGATAAATTTGTCCGACACTTCAGCTAGAGCGTGTCTGTCCAAAAAAATGGTGATGTTTGCTGGTGAGGGGCCCAGCCATGGCAGAATTTGTACAGCACAACATCAAATGTGTAATTTGTTTTTACTCTGCCCAAGTGCTCCAGGTGCTCCGGCCAAGTTAGAGCCAGCCTGGCTGTTACATTTCCCAAGTTCTACTTGACGATGCTCAGAGTGGGAGTATTGGGCTCTGCACCATCTCTGGCAGCAGCCAAGGTGCATCCATGGGAACTGTTTAACACAAAACACTCCCTCCTCTGCACAGCCAGATGTGCAGTTGCCTCAATGCTTCAAGAACTTTGTTCTCAAACCACCAAGTATCTGAGAACCAGGAGTAACCCAAGCTTCCAGGTCAAATCGATTTGTTTTAATAAGAAACAAGCCATTTAGGTTTTACCCTCTCCTTTTAAAGAGCAATGCAATTTTCAAAGATCACTCTCTATGCTTATTACTCTCAATACTTACCTTCAAAGGAGTTTTAACTTAAATATTGACATTGTAAGGGTTTTTTTTTCCCCCTTTCTTATTGATTTTGCTAGGCAGAACATCCCCTGCATGAAAGCAGCAAAGTAAGGCTGAACGTGCCTCCTTCTCTGAGCCTGGATACCCATCCAGGACCTGAGCTTCCCAGTAAACATTCTCTACAGATCTGAGTCCCCCAGAGGTGATAGCTGCTAATCAGAAAGGGGACAATTATTCCTGACAGACCCGGGTTTAGCTCTTTAAAAGAAAGGGAGGAAAGTGAAGGAGAGCCAGGGCAGAAGAAAGCACTCTGGCCACTGCCGAGCACGCTCCACACAGACATATCACCCAGGCAGGGAACACAAACAGTGACTCACTCTCAGCTGTGAGAACCGCGGCGGCTTTGCCGGTGGCTCCTCGTATGGTCTGTCTGCCAGGGAGGCGATGATCCTCTTCCGATGGCCGAGCAGATTCACTTTCAACACCTGCAGGAGAGATCACGGTCACTGCAGACTTTCCTGCCCTCAGCATGAAGCAAAGCTTCCCCTCTTTGAGCAGCGCTGTTCCCATTTAATATGACTCCCTGCAAGTCACAGCCCCAGAGGGAACGTGGGCAGGACGTCACTGCTGTGGCAAGAGAAAGGCAATACTCACATTTACTATTTCAAGCTCCCAAAGGTTTTTCACAGTGTCAATAGAGCTGTAGCCACTCGAGAGGAAGGACTGAATGTAATCCTGCAGCCCCAAAGAGTCGAGCCATGCAGGAACCGAAGGCTGGCTGTTCCCATCACAGCCCAGGGGTTTCAACTGTAAAAGCACAAGAAAGGGGTTAAAAGCGCCAGGGGGCTGGGATCCCAAAGCATACAGCATCAGTTAAAATCAGTTTAAAGGCCAGTATCATGTCCACTAGAAGCCTTAAGGTAAAAAAAAAAAATCACCGTATAAACAGGGAATGCACTTAGGATCAATACTGGCATGAGGGACAGCCACCCTCTCCCCAGCACAGTGTCATCCCATCCACATAGCCTGGTGGACCAACATACTCCTCCTCCCTGCTATTCCCAAAACCCTTCCCTCAGCCCCTGTGATCCCTCTGTAGGTCACAAGGATGTGGCTGGAGTCACAGGGACTGGCTTTTGTCTTCTCTGCTTTCACAGCTGAGCTGGTCGACGCCCTGTCTCTACTTTACGTGAGGGGTGTTGGTGCTGACCTTCGGGAGGGAGCGAGCAGCCTGGAGGAGCTTCCGACGGTGCTGCGGATCACTGATCCCGATGTCCCGAAGGTCCTGGTCTTCCATGACATTACAGCCCTGTGGGGACAGGAAGGAGCGACATGGGAGCAGAGGGCAACAGAAGCCACATCAGGTGCGGGAGCAGCTATCATGCACATTACAGCACCCTCCTGACCTCACCTCCCAGCACGGCCCCACAGCAGGAGGAGGAGGAGGAGGAAGGCTCCCAAGGATGACAGCTTTGCCCCACGTACCAACCCCGGACACAGAGAGGGCTGACACGAAAGGGGCTGCGGCACACATCGCATCGGTGGGGCAGAGTGCTGCCATCCCCTCCCTCCCACAGCCCGCTCTGCAGCATCCTCTTCCAGCCGTTAGATTTCAGGCCATCGCTTACAGCAACCTTCCTGCTTGATGCACAGATGCTCTAAGCACTGCGTAACAACGCCCAGGTAAAGCTCAGCCCCCCTCCATGTGTGGTGCCTGAGAAGGGGCACTCGGCTCTGCTCAGCCTCCCTCCACAGCCACAGAGAAATCTGAATTTCTTTCCGGGAGAGCAGGCAACCTGGCGAAGGTCACATTTATCCTCCGTCCCCTGGGCAAGGAGGCAGCCCACCCCACTCCAGCAGAGGTGCTCCGATCGCCGCACACCGCTCTGTTAAAGCCCATTTTCTGCCCACCCTTCCCCCTGCAGAGCACGAGTGGACACATGCAGAGCACACTGACTTTACCCCTCTCTTAAGAGCCTCCATCACAACCTGTTTCCCTGCCCCTCGTACCTGGGGAGAGCTCAGCGGGAAGCCCAGGCACATCTCCCCATGGCTGGAAGAGCCACGCTGCTGTTTGACCGAGGGCTTCAGCTCGAGCTCGGGCCCCCCCCTCCCTGGACCTGCCTCCCTCTGCTCTCAGGAGAGTCACAGCTGAAGGTCTGAGCTGACAGCGCTTCGCTGTTCCACATTTTGGTTTTATAAGAGAAACCTAATTAAAATTGGCTGTTGGGCAATATGCTGCTGCAGGGGCATGCAGGCTGCAGGAACAGCGGGCTGAACGGCCAGGACTTCAGGAGGGAAAGACGGCCAAGTATCCTCTTCAAAGGGCAGCAAATATTTTATATTCCTTCCCACTCCACACTTTCTGCAGTATTTCAGCACTTATGTTTTGTTAAGTACTACCTGCTTTAAATACAACAGCCAAATGTGAAAGCAGTGAGCTGCTCTCTGAGTAGCCGACCCACCTGAGCGTGACCCCGCAGGGACGATGCTGCCTCCTGCAAGGGCAGAAAAGGAGGAAAAGCCCTTCCCACTGCCCCTTCCACTCTCACATACTCCTGGACAAGCACACAGGCCTATTTGCAGCCAGGACAGACCACAGGGAGAGCTTCCCTTTGGTGATGGCTTTATGAGAGTCACCGGGTGCATTTCACGGAGCCAGATACCAGTCCTGCAGCCAAACACTGGCCGGCTCACTCCCGGCAATGCCAGCATCTGCGTTGCTCCCGACTTGCTTGGTTTGTGCCTGGCCTACGACAGCACCAAGCCCAGGCAGCATCGCTCCCACCACTTCCATGGCCTGGTGTGATAACTGCTGGGTAGGATACTACACGGCTCTTTGCCCCCGAGAACTGCTCTTCCCCTCGCCGCAGAGATAAGCGTTCAGAGAAACACAGAATTAACGCTACAGGTAAGAGATGCCCAAGTCGCTGGGAGAGCTGCCCTCAGAGGCCAGACTGCAGAGAAACAATGATTTAGCAAATGACAGTGGCAAGTTAAAGCAGCGTGTGGCAGGGACGCAGGGCACTGTAGACACTCTGTGACCGCCAGCACCCACAGCACCGAGGCTCCTCTGCCTCCATCCTCCCTTGGCAGGCAGGGATGCCCGACGCCCTCAATTCCTGGCAGGCCATGGGGGGACTGAGACTGCAGATCTGGAGCAGACAGCTGCAGTACGAAAGCATTTGTCTAAGAGTTATTTAAAAAAGCAGAAAGAGCTGGGACTAAAGACCCTGCAGCCGATTAGGGTGGTTTGCTCCCTGTTTTCCAAAAGGTCAGTTTATAGCAGCAGGCTACAGCACTGGTCTGCAATGTCACTGCCCGCTGCCAGCTGGAAAGAGCGACTGCCACTGCTTGAGACAGCACCGTGGGTGGGCGGCAGCTCTGCAGGGGCACGGGTCCACACTGATACCTGCCTTGCCTTTCTTGGATTGCACCCCACATCCTGCTAGCAAGGCCATGTGAAACCCCTGGGTCTCACCTGAGTGGTAATGCTACACACAAAGCTCTATGCAAGGATGTAACTATGTCACATAAACAGCTCTATGGACCTCTCAATTGCACAATAAAAAAAAAAAAAAAGGCTTTTTGTCAGTTAAAGGCTCCAAGGGTGCCCATTTGGTGCAAAAGCAGCAGCAGGCTCCATTGCATCAAGAGCAAACGCCCTATGTGAGTGAAGTGGAGAGGCTGCCGCTGACAGAGGCAGTGATCACTCTGGCTTGTTAGCAGCAGCATCCCACAAAAAACTCGAAAACATCCCTCCCCTTTCTTACTCAGAAATTTTAAGCCAAAAGCCACATTTAACATGCATTCCTGTAACAGCAGAAGATTGTGTGCTCAGCTCAGGGGAAGAGGGAAAGGATTAAAGGTAGCTTAACTCCCCTGACATGCACCTTACCTGGCACAAGTGCTTTTGCATGCGACAGTTCTGCTACAGGGGCTGCCAGAAGGTCCTTGGGAGGCCGCATATGTGTGAGGAATTCATCTCCTAGAGGGCGATGTCTTTTAAAGGGCTTTTTTAAATGGACAGAAGATGGCTAGAGCAAATGACGGGATTTTTCCTATAAGCCTGAAGAGCAAAGCATTACTGCTTTGCTTGGGGGAGGCAAAAGGAAGCAGAGGAAGGGACTGACTCACCGAAGTCCCTGCAGCAGGCTAACGTCACACCTCAGGTCCCCAAAACCTGCAGTTCCCAACACCTCAGCCTGCTCTGCTTCCCCAACCTGCCCATCTTGGTGCTCTGCTGCTTAATTCCTCCGTAAAGAGCTGAGTGCCAGAGCTGCAGCAGGCGTGGGGGCTTGAGGAGGATGCTAGCAAGGGCACGGCTCACAGCAAACCCTTCACGCACCAACCAGGACGGCAAGAATCATCTGCAGCCAAATGAGCTGTGACAACGGCGACGTGTAATTTTCACGTATGAAAATTAAACAAGCTTGCTGATCCTATTTACATTTTTACTCATGCTTATTTTCCAATGTTGAGCCTTTTTCGTGCTAATACACTTTAGCACAGCAATGCCTGGCTAGCACAGCCATGCTCCCAAACTAGCAGCACAGGGCTGTCAGCTCACGCTCTCCCAGGATGCCTGTTCTACGCTGACATGGCCAGTTACAGGCCCAAAGAAAGGCAATAGGTGTTCTCCCACTTTTGGCATCTCAAATTCAAAGAAAATTGCTTGCTGTGTAGCAAGGATACAAGCTAGTTAAATACTGTAAAGCCTGCAGCTTTTGCGAACACTCCTTATTTTTATGTGTCACATTAAATTCCCTCAGTGTCAGCCCATATTCTCAGGGTACTTAACAAGGATAGACAAAGCATAGCAGCTCCAAATAAATCATTACAGTCTATTGTGCATGAGCCTCCGCTTAGAGAAATGTCCTTTAAACCCATCCGGATTTCATCTCCTATGAAAAAAATAATCTGCCACTAAAATAGATAATTAAATGCAAACACACTGGAGATCTTTTAACCTTTGCCAGTGGAACAGATGAGCTGTTTAAACCAGACTTTAAACCTGTTTGCATTTAACATGCCGTTCAGACAAAAGCCAAGGGGCAGAAATGGTCCGCCTGGGCCACCGCTGCCACCTGCCTCCGAGCCACGCTCCTCCGGCGCATCAATTGCCACAGGTTTGGTTAGAGCCCCGCTCTCTGCTCCGGCTCCTGTGCTTGCAAAACCACCTCTCTGCTCAATCACCAACTGATGACTTAGCATAAAAAGCCCCCTAAGCAAGCAGGGTTCCCAGCCACGGAGACCCAGCTGGGGTCTGCTGCGGCTTTCGTCCTTCCCTGCCTCTCCCGGCACATCTCACTCGCTTCTCACCGCCAGCCCCATCCTTCCTGACCTCCGCACCACTGGCTCATGCTGGGCACTGGGCTGATGAAGGGTCTTAGGTCTGTCCCCGAACCAGGCAAGAGCCATGTCTTTGGAGACCGCAGATGTCCACACCCGGCAGCTCACGAAGAAAAAGGGAACAAGGCATTCATCACCGAGAGGAAACAAAGCCTCTTCGTTACAAAGGGCTGCTCAAAAGGCAGATTGCCTTGATGCAGAGCTGCAAAGTTTCAGAAAAAATGCTGTGAGGATTTGTAAGGGTTTTTTGGGAGAGTTCGGTTTTGATTTTTAAACAATATCCCAATAGAGGTTTTTGTTTGCTCATTTTTGGTTTTTTTTTTTTCCTTGGGTTTTTTTGTTGCTTTTTTCTAAATAAAGGTCCCCTTTGGTGCTGACACAGGTCAGCAACCAGGTCAAAAGATGCCATCTCCCAAGTGCCCCGCTGGAGGCTGCAGAGCAGTCCTGGCAGCCTGACCCCAGGCTCGTGGTCAGCCCCTCTCCGGGTCCTCTGAGGATGATTTCAGCAGATGTCCAAGGCAGGGCAGAGGAAAGCTCCCAGGGACTCGCTCTGCTCTTAGCCCAGTCCTCTAGGATCCTCCAGCAGCAGCCTCAGAAATGCCAATTAGAATCAAATATACTTCCAAAGATGTATTTCAGACTTTATTTGTTGTGACAAGTGCTTTTTACCTTGTGCATTTCTCCCAGCTGTGGGGCTGCGGAGCAAGCGCAGCTCAGGGCTGCACCCGGGCCAGAGCTCTCGCTTTCACCCATACTGGGGGAGCAGGGGACATCCAAAAGCCCCGTTCACCCCAACACCTCACCGTTTTCCCCTTGCTTCCATCGGGAACTAGCTCTCACCATTTCCTGCACTGCAGGTGGTTTGTTCCTAGAACACGCAACCTTGCATTAATCCAGATTTTAGTACAGCACCGTGCGCACATGTTAGTCTTGGTAGAAAAATATTTGGTGATTTTT